GCTCTTAGAGTAAATATTAAAATTCAGTAGTGTTATTCCTCCAACTTTGTTCTTTTTCTCCAACGCTATTTTGCGTATTATAGGTTCTTTGCTTTTCCATATAAATTTTAGAATCAACTAGTTAATTTCTTTAAAAGAAAATGCCTGCTAGGGTTTTGATTGGAATTGCATTGATGTATAAATCAAATTGGGGTGTACTGACAATTTAACAATATTGAGTGTTCTGATCTATGAATGTATCCATGAACAGATGGTTCTTAGCAAGGCTCATTGTTTTGCCCAATGCCTGTATGTTTTTCGCTCGTGGCTGATGATTAATCTAAGTCAAAAGTGGCAATTCCCCTCCTCTTGCCAAGACTGGTTTAGGAAAGGGCTTGTGACTCGGTTCTGACCAATGAGGCTGGAGGAAAATCGGCTTTGGGAGTTCTGGGAAAGGTGTCTCTGTTTTAAGAAGAGGACACAGCAAGAGAAGCCCCTTTCTTTCTCCAGATGTTATAGCGTCTAGATATGGTACCAGGAATCATTGCGGTCATCTTGTGAGAAGAACCAGATGGAGGGCAAACAGCCAACATGCAAATGACAAAGCAAAAAGACAGACCTGGACCTAGACAACACACTGAGCCACCGAAGTCACCAATCTTGAAGCCTACACAATGCTTCCTTGTTATGTGAGAAAAAGATTTTCATGACTGTTCAAGTCTATTTGGGTTGGGATTTTCTGTTACATGTAGTGGAAATCACCTTACCTAATATACTCCTTCTAGTCAAACAGCTGAAACATCCCTGAAAAATCACAAGCTATAGATTTTTCATTTAAAAAATATTTTAGTTTATTTTTACCACTCTTTATTTAAACCTTTTATATTGTTTTTCAGATTTATAAATTCAATATAAGAAAAAGTACAAACAATACAAGTATGGTTAATAAAAAAAGTCAGAGTTTCCTCCAGCTCCTGCCTTCTCCCCAAGCTAACCCAATACGCTTACTGGAAAAGAACCATTGTTATCAATTGGATGTGCATCCTTCTGGATCTTTTTCTATGCATGAAAGTGACATATATTTTTAAAACATAACTTATTTGAACGTTCATAGGCACAGGTGAATGAATATTTAAAATTTATAAGGAATTTTTAGATATAAGAACTTTTGTCATATGTGAATTGAAATTGTTTTAAATATTTTTCCTTTTGACGGAGTAACATTATATTGAGATACATATTATACGTTATATTTCAGAATCCAGTAGATAGTCCTAATAACCTTTAAAAAGGATAAAAATGCATATCTAAAGAGAAACGTGCTGATGTCATTCAATATTGGTCCATAGTAGTTATAAAACACACGTTTACTATTAATGATATAGTTCCAATCTCAGCCAGTCCTGTTAGAATTAGAGACTTTTCCACTATCGTAATTTTTGCGCCCATTCCTCAGTCACACTTTTTTTCCACCCATAGAGCCTAGGGCTATGACTTTAAGTGAAAGGGGCTATTGGAAAAAAAAAGTGTTTAACCACCTGGGGTAATGTGAGTTACTGAGTCAGAGCTAACTGGACTTTTTAAAAATTAAAGAAAAAATCAATATTAAAAGAAAAGTTCATAATTTTCACCCAAACTCCTACAATCCTATTCCCGAGTTAATTAATGTTAATGGGTTGACATGTAATTTTCTTTATCATCTCTTATGCTGCTGTGTGTGTAAAATGGGTCCACGCATTACTCTTTAAGTTAGGATACAGGTTTGACTCTGTAATAAAGACCCAAAATAACAGTGGCTCCCACAAGAGAGAAGTGATTTCTCATTCACAAAACAGTCCAGTTATAAGCAGTCTAGGAGATATGGACTTTCTACAGTGTCAGGGACCCAGGCTCTTTCTAGCTTGTTGTGCTGTCATTCTTAACTATTGTACTCATCTATAAGATTACCATCATTTCTTCACTCCAACCCAAGGAAGGAGCACAAGTCAAAGGCGAAGGCATTTCCCTTTCTAAAGAGCACAGCCCGGAAGTTGCACACATCCCATCTGCTCCCATCCAGTTGGCCATAATTTAATCATAAACTTTACCTCACTGCAAGGGAGGCTAGAGAGAAGCAATCAGGGGTGGAAGGGTTCAGAAAACTCCCAGGCTGCCTCCCAAGGGTCCAGAATCTCCAGCATCCCGAGCATCAGTGTTGTTGCTGTTCATCCCAGGTCATCTTTACTGGTGGAGGCTGAACCTGGACAACTGCGAGTTCTCCAGTTAGAGAATAACACAAAAAGGGCAGAAACAATAAAGGGAAAGCTTGATTGATTTAACTAAAATGTAAAACTTCAGGATAGTAAAAAACACCATATGCAAGTTAACAGTCACGTGGCATACTGTAAACTATTCGCAACACATGTAATAGGCAAATGCTTAATAATCTTAATAGCTCTTACAAATCGGGAAGAGATAAACAAATGCTTCAATTAAAAATGGGCAAAAGATGTCAGTGGCAATTCAGAAAAGGAGAAATATAATAAACACAAATCTGTGAAACACTCTAAGCACTCTATATGGTTTTTTAAAATGCAAATTAAACAGCAATGGGATCCCATTTATCACATAAAGACTTTGTGTTGAAACTTTATACATATCGAGGGTTCTGGGCTGGGAGGAGGGAGGGAATTTTTTCGGCATTTTCATGCTCTGCTGGTTGAAACAATTGAAATAAATTTTGGGAAGGCCATTTGGCAATATGAATCAAAAATCATTTAAAAAGTACCTACTTTGACTCAGAAATTCTACATTAGAAATGGACCCTAAAGAAATAAATATGTTCTCTAATATTTAGGAGACTCAACACAGAATTGTTTATATAATATGGAAAACCTGGAAACAACAGAAATACCTAATAATAGGGGATTGGATAAATAACTGAAGGTCTGTCCACATAATGGACTATGCTGAAGCAATTAATAATTTTGTAAAAGTATGTTTATCTTTGATACCGAGCATGGGCTCGCTCTGCTGCTGCCATCTGAGCCAACTAATCGCAATGAGTTAGGGATCAAGAAAGGAAACTTTAATTAGATTAGATTAGCCTGCAAATGGGAAGATGGGTGACTAATGCCTCAAAAAAACCCATCTTCAAGGATTACAGAATCTTGGGGCAGTTTTATAGCGAAAATGGACAGAAAGGAGGGGGTTCAGAAGTGTACATGACAGACTCCAGGATCTCTCATTGTTCTTTTCTTCTGTCGATGATGAATATTCTACAAGTGTTCTTCCTTCCTGGAGGCCTTCTTATTCCTTGGGAAGATCCGTTAAAATTGTTAAGAACAAAGCTATCAGAGTACCTCAACAGGGGTATGTGCACAGGATCAGGGCCAGAAAATCATGAAAGCATGCAGCAATTTATAATGATCACATTATAAAAACTATATAAAACTAAAAGAGTTTCAACTAGGAAAGGGTTATTTAGTGTCACAAGATGGCCTCACTTGTGTTCACTTACATCTTGAAAAGGAAAGATGGTTATGATGTATTTTTGCACAGGAAGTTGTAAACAATGTGTACAATATGGACCCATTTTTATAAAAATATCTACATAGGTCATTTAGGATGCACTGTTACAATTAACAGAAAACTCGATTTAAACTGACTTCAACAAGCAAACTTATTGGTTCATATAACTAGAAACTCCAGAAGTAAGACAAATTTTGGTGTTAGCTTAATTTCACAGCTCTGAGTTTTTTAAAGACTGAATTTCTTTTTATATCTCTTTTTCACCTTCTGAAGCATCTGTTTCACCTGAAAGTGGTTTGTCTTGCTGTGGCAAGATGGCTGCCAACAGCTCCCAGGGTTGCCTTGTCCCAGCTCAGAGAAGGACTGAGTGTCTCTCCTCCAGCCTTTAGCGGGAGTCCTAGGCTTCCCTCTGATTGGACCATCTTTTTTTTTTTTTTTTTTTTAAAGATTTTATTTATTTATTTTTCCCCCCAAAGCCCCAGTAGATAGTTGTATGTCATAGCTGCACAACCTTCTAGTTGCTGTATGTGGGACACAGCCTCAGCGTGGCCAGAGAAGCGATGCGTCTGTGCGCACCCGGGATCCGAACCCCGGGCCGCCAGCAGTGGAGCGCACGCACTTAACCACTAAGCCACGGGGCCGGCCCCTGATTGGACCATCTTGATCACGTGCCTTTCCTGGAGGCCAAGGGAATGCTTTGTACTGATTGGCTTAGCTCTGGGATAGGTGCTGGTCCCTAAAACAAACACTGCAGCAAGAGCACGGATTACTGTAATTTAGTTTACCCACATATGGGTCTATACTGGAGCTAGGCATGCGGTAAATCCCAGCAAAACTGCGTGGATGTTCCACAATGGTGTGAGGTGGAATGGATGTTGAGAAGCTCATCCTAAGATCTACCTCCACAGAAAAAAGCCTGGAAGGATGTACACCAAAGTGTCAACAAATGGTTATCTTACCCTGGAATTATGGGTAATTTTTATGTTCTTTTTCATACTTATCTGTATTTTACATTTTTGACCACAAACATATTACTTGCATAGCTTCGAAAAGAATAAAGGCTATAAATATCAGGAAAACCTGGTGTATAACACTTGCATCATAATTAGCGGTGTGAGAGATTTAAAGCAGACATCTTAGCAGACAGGAAATAGGAGTTTTCGGAATGATACCACTGTGCCTCGCAGAAGTTTCTAACTGTCTTTGTTATGAAATTGTGGTCATCTCCGCAGGCATAATCTGAGATCTTTGAAGGCTAGTCTGGCTTAAAGCCGCTGGTTGAGTGGCTTGATTTTTCCTTTATGTTAGGGTGGGGATACGTTTTATCTTTCTCTGGAGACATTTTTCCTTGTCGCCTTCAAACACTATGAAGTGGGTCCCAACCCCAGAAGGGGTGCAGAGAGCAAATGCCTCTTTGCAAAGGGACCTCTGTGTAGAGAGGGGAGGCGCTGGCTCCGGGTTCCTCCACTTCCTTCTTAGACAGGAGTTCAGGGTTCTTTCAGGAAGTGGCCACCGCAGCGAGTCCCCGGCTTTCTCTGACATCCTGCAGCTCTCTACAGACTTGAATCGCGTGTCTGCAGGCACCACGGAAGGGCTCCCGGTCTGAGGGCTCAGGGTCCTGGGAGAATGTGAAGTGGAGCATGTCCCTTGATTCACTTCTGTTAGATACCGGGTGTTGGGAGTACTTCCCAGCATCCCTGAAGAAACTCCTGCTGCTCTTCTACATATTTTTTCCTGGAAAAGAGAACTCTGTGTTCCACTGGCAGAAAAGAGCCTCACTGGTGAAGTAAGGTAAGGATTTCTCATGTCAGTCTGGGCATCCCATTTCTCACTTTTATTTCTGCTTGAAATTGATTCTCAGCTCTGCGTTTGCAGAAACTCGATTTTATCTGATCACGCCCTTCTGGAATTATTCCATTCTGATGGTAAGCAATAAACTAATTTCAGTTTCATGATGAGAGCTACGCTTACCAAAAGGATAGAAGTGCTCCAGTTTGAGTGATCAAGGCACTCTGGTCTCAGTAGGAAAATACACGTGGGCGATGAGATGAGGCCAGAAGGTGGATACTGGATGATTTTAAGACTCCATTCTGTGTTTCTCCTGGTAATGTCATCCACCTCCCACCAGAATGTAAACTTCACTTGAGTGAGGACCTTGTCTGTCTTGTTCAATGTCGTATCCACAGCATCTAGAACAGTCGGAGGTACTCAACACGTACGTGATGAATGAATGAATGGAAAACTGGCTAGGTGGATGGATAAATCCTTATTATTTTCTAGAGTCACTGTCTTATGAGAAGTTTTCCCTGACCTTTCTAGGAAGGTTAGACTCCCTCCTCTGGGTTTCCATGGCCCTTTGCATTAAAGCACTTAACTCATAGTATTGAAACTATCTGCTTATATATGTATCCATCTTCCCTGAAAGACTGTGAGCTCCACATGCAGGGATTCTGCCTTATTTTTCCGTTTAACTACCTAGAGACACTCTTCCTGGTACTCTAGCACATAGTCTATACTCATTGAATAAAATAAGACCGTGGCAGCCTCATGACTCTCAGCCTGTGGGATCAATTTCTTAAGTGGATCAGTGGATATGACATTAATCGGGCCCCTTTGACTCTTCAATGTTGGTGATCCATTATTAACTTCTTACTATTTGCTTTTCATTGCTTCCAAGGGAACACGCATCCTTCGATTTTCTGCTGTTATTTCAGTATCCTCTCTGTTGAACCTACAAATACACTGAATGGTTTCCATGGATTCCATTTCCAGGATCAAATTAGTCATGTCCTGATGTTATCCTACCCTAAGACAAAGAGACACCTTAATCTCATCAGCAAACCACCTCCAAGTCTTAGGGTAGGGTGCATTGTTTCTGGGAGGGCTACCTGGAGATAGCACATCCCTCTTGGGTTATGTGGATTCTTACAGCTCTGGTCGTACAAACTGAAGTCCCCGGTCTGGTCCCCACTCACTTTTGGCTCATCTCTTTTATCACCTATGGTCCTCTTTCTGGAGACTGCACTTCCTGCAATAGGTACACTTGCCTTCTGACCAGGTCACATTTTCTTGGGGTCCAGGTGGGGATTGTATGGCACCACTCTGATGACTGTGAGAGAGCAAAAGGTGTCACGTGGCTCCTGGTCAGTCCTGGATCATCCAGAAATAATATTCACTGTTTTGAGACCAGGTATTTAGGAAGTAAGACAGACTAAGTGGCAACTACACATTTAAGATCAGGGCAGGCTGGAAGTCTGAAACAAGGTGGATACTCAAGTTAGGTAAAACTGGCAATAACCAGAGAATGGTGATCTGAGCCTGATTTTTTGGCAGAGTTTGCTACAGCCAAGGAGTCCACATTCTCTGTTAATTTGTGTGGGCCTGAACCCACGGATGTGGATGGTTTAAGTGGCCAAGAAGGTGGTGAAAAGGAAGGTGGACATTTGTAGTTCTATTGGAAGGTTTTTTGAATGCCGGAGCAAGTCTCTCTAGACCACAGTGACACAGCCGTGCATTGGTAGGTACACACCACAGGGATTTATACATCTCAGCCATCGTTTCCTTATCTAAGGCCCACCCTCACCTCCCAGGAGGACTTGCATCCTGCACTTGTGTTGTCACCCAGATCTGTCCAGTTGTGTCATACACTGAGAGTCCCCATGATGACTGGTCATTTGTTCTTTGATAAGATAGCCTCTCCATATGTCTGCATCCTGATAACTTTGAAAGCCTCTTCGTCATTTGGGTCAAACCCCAAAGTTGGCCAGTATTTAGATCTAGCTACCTGTACCCTTCACACGCATGTGTTTCCTAAATCAGGCTATTTCTTGACTGTTTCCCTTCAGTAGGTGTCATTTCTAAGTTTGCCTGTATCAGATTTGACCTCATTTCCTATCCACAGTGCCAGCCTCTTTGGCACAGCTGTGGTTTTCTGGAGGGCGTCTCTACCCACTTCTGTCTTCCTCAAACAGCCTTACTCAACTTTTTGTGTCCTTGCTTTTTTCAGGAGGTTTTTCCTGCCAGCCTCATGTCGGTACTGCCCAGGATTCATCTCAACATCACCTGCCCTGGATTTTCATGCAAAAGAAGGAAGAACACCTTCCCCAGATCCTCTTCTTGGGAAAAGGAGAAAGGAACTCACCTTTCTCTAACCAAAGGTTTGTGGTTTTCATATGTTTTTTCCAAAAAATGTGAAATTGATCTATGTTTTTACCGTCCTGCTCATAAACTGTACCAGTGTTCATTCCTGCTTCCACTTCCAAATCAATGAAGTAAATTTCTTGAGGACAGTGGCCATATCTCACTCATCTCTGCAGGCCCAGCATTCTAGCACAGTGCCTGACACGTGGTAGGTGCACAATCCATGCTTATTGAATGAATGAATGAGCGAATGTATAAGTGGAGAAATCGGGATATGGGCATGAATTTAAAGATTCTGATTATAAATTTTTGATCACTCAAAAGTGGTTTCATGATAATATAGCTAGGACTTTCAAAGTTAATAATTTTCTTTGTCATCAATACTTAGAATGTGGGCCGGCCCCGTGGCTTAGTGGTTAAGTGCGTGCGCTCCGCTGCTGGCGGCCCGGGTTCGGATCCCGGGCACGCACTGACGCACCACTTCTCCGGCCATGCTGAGGCCACGTCCCGCATACAGCAACTAGAAGGATATGCAACTATGACATAGAACTATCTACTGGGGCTTTGGGGAAAAAAAGAGGAGGAAGATTGGCAATAGATGTTAGCTCAGAGCTGGTCTTCCTCAGCAAAAAAAGAGGAGGATTAGCATGGATGTTAGCTCAGGGCTGATCTTCCTCACAAAAAAAAAAAAGAAAAAAGAAAAAAAATACTTAGAATGTAAGTTCTTTTGAGAAATACAAAATGCAGTTACAGATAATGTGTGCGAAAATAGCATTAATGACAATAATATATTTTCTATTTGAGAATAAGTCCATTAAATAGAAAGATAAATATAATGGTCATATTTTAAGAGAATCACAAGGATGAGTATTGAAACAGCCTTTTGCTCTATAAATATGATTCAAAATTCTATGCCAATTCTAAAAGGCAAATATAAATGCTAGTGAAAATAACCAAGACTCTTATTAACTTGGTGTAAGTGGACTTGTTATGGAAAAATGCGAGTCCATCCAAATGGTAATTGAGAATTTGCTGTGATAGATGGACTTATACCCTTGCCAAAGGAACTTTATAAATATATAGGTTCCAACAATTGAGAGAAATCAGTTATACAATAATTAAGTAAAAATTCAAGTTAATAATCAATTATGTGCTAAGTAAAAGTTCTTAGAGTAGGCAAAAAGTTAAGGCATTCCATGAATTTTCAGTTTCAGTTATAAGATTTATTTAAAAACCATAGTTTTCAGGGGGACTGACCTGATGGCACAGTGGTTAAGTTTGTGTGCTCTGCTTCGGTGGCAGGGGTTCATGGGTTTGGATCCAGGGTGCAGACCTACACACTGCTCACCAAGCCATGTTGTGGCGACGACCCACATACAAAATAGAGGAAGATTGGCACAGATGTTAGCTCAGGGCCAATCTTCCTTACAAAAAAAGAAAAGAAGAAAAGAAAAAGAAAAAAATTACAGTTTTCACGTCTAGGGAGTCAACTTTGCATGACATGTATAATATGTATGGTGCAAAGACACCTAATAAAGATAGGAGTATGTAACCAAGCAGGGTATATTATAAATAGATTTCAAAACTAAAGAAATTCTTTTTCATCAGTGAAACAAATCACAGTGTATAAAAAAGCTTGGTAAGAATAGCTATAATTAAATTGTACCTTAATTTGAGGAAATAGAATTAAACTTGACAGAAGGGTTACAAAAAATCCCCAAGGCTGAATGAGAAAGAGAAACTAAAGCACTTCGTGGAATCTGCTGATTTCAGCTTTGCCAAGATTGTACTGACGAAATGTCTGGTTTATGGCTGAAGCCAGGCGAGGTCTGCTGAGACAGAAAGGGTGTATCTTGTTGCTTAGGATGGGTCAACTATCTTAACTGTGCAATGAAAGAAAACCATTGACTATGGAGTAGAGGATTGCCTACTAGCAAAACACAAGCCTCACCATCTTGGCTGCTGTGTGTTATTTGTTTATTTATTTAATTGAGGTTATATTGGTTTGTATGTGTTATTTTATAAGCTTTAATAATGTTAAAGTCATACACAGGTAAATTAACTTTTAACTAGCTTAATAATTGCAATAGTGCAACATTAAAATAGTTTCAGCGTATTTCAAATGTAAATGCTACAAGATGAACTCTTATTAGAGACGAACTAATAGACTAATAAACTAAAAGACTAAATAGACCAACAACTAATAGACCAAAAATCCTCTCCCATTCTGGGAAATAGTATTGGCAATGAATTATTTTCTCAACAGCATACAGCTTGCTGTTTACTCTTTGCAGTTTGTAGACATCGTATTGACCTTTGGTGTTTGGAGAGACAGGGAGGAAGGAAGAAAGGCCATCTGTTTACTACCTGCTAGGTAACTGTCAGAAGATTCAGGATTGTGTGAGCTCCATGATGTCAGAGACTTGGTGTGTGTTGGTTACTGTGTATCCCCAGCACTTTGATCCCTGCCGGGGACACATAGGTAGTTGGAATTCACCAACTGATTGAATAAATGTCTAACTGTTGAGCCTGCCACTTTTGTTCCTTGGTTAGTCCCATGCCAATGCAGAGAGCTCCATCCAAGGAGAATCAAATGGCTGTTTTATTTTAGTCAGTGTACCATAATTTCATATAAATTCGTTATTTAAGTTTCTAAGATTCATGAAAAATGTTACTTGTTACATATGACATCATTATAGTAGGTATTGAACCATCTTTTTCTGAAATCCTGGAATGATGCCTATGCCTTATTTCTATCTGCAGATATATGTAGGGCAGTGAAATGCATCATTAAATTGTGTCCTCTTTGTTCACACAGATATCATTGTTCCTGTAGTAAGTTGGATCACACACATTTATCATTATCTAAATTATAAAATGAAAAGAGCTTTGTCGCCATTCTTATGGAGCTACCTTCTTTGCAATACTTGCTTCTTAAATATTTATTTATATTCCAGGTTGGGAGATTTGCTTTACCCTCCCCTTGTCCATGGTCAGCCTAGTGTTTCAAAACCTCAAGGTGTTCAGTAAAGACACGTGTGCACATTGCTTTTTAAGATGTGTTTTTAAACATTAAGTAGTTTGTTTCAAAAAGGACAAGTTTCTATTAAAGCAAGGTAGTGAGTCTCTAGGTTAACGAATCCTATGAGGACTTAGAAGAATGTCTGTGGATCAAAACTTTGGTCATAAAAAAGTGGGAGAGGAAGCTGGAGAATTTCCCTTTTTATAAAAAATGACGGGTTAACATTCAAAAAGTTAACTGCCTGGGAAAACACTCATTAGAAAAATGTGTGATTTTTCTGTCTTCAGAAGTCACAGGGTATACCTATAGAAGCAGTGTGATTTCACCCAGTTCTCCACGTCACCTCTGGGAGCTGTTTCCAGATGATTAACAGAGCTAATATTTAGTTAAGTTCTTATTCTTGATGAGGAGTGCCTGGTGCTCAGTAAACACTGGTTCCCTCCCTTCCTTCCTGCCCGCTTTGAGGAGAATAACAGAGGAGATGGCAGAAGCTTCACAGACTGGAGTGGTGTTTAAAATACTAAAGAAGTAAGGCCACAATTAGAGTAAAGGGGACGACATGTTTAAAGAGAAGGGGGCATATTTATTGTGGAAGAGAAGTTCTGATCATTCAGGGAGGGTTTTAAGAGCCGTTCTGAAAGTATCCACTTCTCATTGGCCTTCTGCCAGCAGGCACGAGCACTTGAAATCATTTCTGAAGTTTGTTCTCAGCTGATGAGTTCTTCCCATTGGTGTTAAGTCAGATACTGGCCCTAACCTTGCTGGACACGGGTGAGCGCCCTAGAAGAGAAGGCTCTCCTCCCTCTCAGAGATCTTTCCTCCTTCAGAAGTTCCCAGGTGTAGGTTCTGGAGGGAGTCTAGCTGGACCCATGGGAAGCCATTCTCAGCTATCTGGAAATAAGGTGGTAGCTGGTAGCTGCTTTTCCCTGCTGTATCAGTCTGCTCAGGCTGCCATAACGAAATACCACAGACTGGGTGGCTTAAACAGCAGAAATTTAATTTCTCATGGTTCTGGAGGCTAGAAGTCCAAGATCAAGGTGCTGGCAGGGCTGGTTTCCTCTGGCGTCTCTCCTGGCCTTGCAGATGATTGTCTTCTTGCTGTCTGTTTATATGGTCTTTTGTCTGTGCGCACACTTCTCTAGGGTCTCTCTCTGTATGTCCTAATCTCCTCTTCTGACAAGGATGCAAGGGCACCAGTCAAATTGGATTAGGGCCCCCTCATGGCCTCATTTTAACTTAATTACCTTTTTAAAGACCTTATCTCCAAATACAGTCACATTCTGAGGTTCTGGGGGTTAGGGCTTCAACATATGAATTTGGGGGGAGGGGACACAATTCAGGCCATAACACCTGCTTGGTCTCTTTTTTTACAGAATTCAATTCACATGCATCAATATGGTACTGTTAGGAAAAGACTCAACGAACAACAGTAACAAAATGTCATCTCAGGAATCGGAAGAGCTGGGTTTGAAGCCAGACTTTGCCATTAACCAGCAACCCCCTGAGAGGAAGTGTGGGGAGCCCTTCACCACCTTCAGATATCGCCCCTCACTGACACGGGGGCAGCTGGCCTGTGGTTTAGACAGTGACTGCCTGGTCCAAATTCCAGTGTCATTGTCAAAAGCTAATTAACCCTGGCTGAGTTCCTTCCTTCCTCTATCCCTCAGTTTTCTTTTCTGAAAAATGGGAATAATAATAGTGCTTCCTTTATAGTCTTGTTGTGCGGATTAAAGAAGTTGGCCCTCACTAGAGCCGTGTCATAGTGAACAATCAACACGTTATCTACTTTTAGATTTTGTCTGTCATAATCCCTTTTCTCATGCTCCTTTCCGGGCCCTTCACTCACGCTGGCACACATCCAATGCTCCATTGATTTTCTTCTGCAGTGGGGTGTCTGTTCAGGGACAGTTGCCTGTCGACCCTCCGAGGTGAGAGAAGTGGGAAATTCTCTCAGCTCAGTGACCCAGATCTCATGATCAGGCCAAGGTAGCAGTT